GCGAGGAAGGGAGAAGAGAGAGATAGAAACATCAATGATGAGAGAGAATCATTGATCGGCTGCCTCCTGCATGCCCCATACTGGGGATCAAGCCAACCCAGGCATGTGCCCTTGACTGGAATCAAACCTGGGACCCTTCAGTCTGCAGGCCAATGCTCTATCCATTGAGCCAAACCAGCTAGGGCTTTTTTGTAATTTTTAAATTAAATTTATTTTTTAATTGAATGTATTAGGGTGACATTGGTTAATTACATTATATAGGTTTCAGGCATACAATTCTACAATACGTCATCTGTATATTGTATTGTATGTTTACAACCCCAAATCAAGACTCCTTCCATCACCATTTATCCCTCCCATTACCCTCTTTTACCTTCTCCCACCATCCCTTCTCTCTGGCAATCACCATACTGTTGTCTGTGTCCATGAGTCTTTCTTTTTTCCCTTTGTTTAACTCCTTCACCCTTCTCACCCAGCCCCAACCCCATGTTATCTGTATTCATGAGTTTATCATTGTGTTGTAGTATAGTTTGAAGCCAGAGAATGTGATATCTCTTGCTTCATTCTTTTTGCTCAGATTGCTTTGACTAATCAGGACCTTTTGTAGTTCCATACAAATCTGATGATGTTCTATTTCTTTAAAAATGTTATTGGGATTTTGATGGGGATTGCATTAAATCTGTATATTGCTTTGGGTAATATGGTTATTTTTAACTATGTGATTCCTCCAATCCATGAACACAATATCTTTCCATTTCATTGTGTCTTTTTCAATCTCTCTTAATAATGCTTTGTAGTATATAGGTGCTTTACATCCTTTGTTAAGTTTATTCCTAAGTATTTTATTCTTTTTGTTGTAATTTCAAAAGGAATTTTTTTTTCATTTCTTTTCCTGACTCTTTATTCTTAGTATACAGGAATGCAGTGCATTTTTGTACATTGATTTTGTATTTTTCAACTTTATTGTATTTGTTTATTGTTTCTAATAGTTTGGGGTTTTTTTTGGTGGAGTCTTTAGGGTTTTCTACATACAGAATCATGTCATCTGCAAAAAGTGATACTCTTACTTCTTCCTTCCCAATTGACTTTTATATCTTTCTCTTGCATGATTGCTCTGGCTAGAACTTAAAGTACTGTGTTGAATTAAGAGTGGTAAGAGTGGATATCCTTGTCTTGTTCCTGATCCTAAAAATAAGCTTTCAGTTCTTTGCCATTGAGTATGATATTGGCTGAGGGTTTATCTTATATAACCTTTATTATGTTGTGGTAATTTCCTTCTATTCCTATATTATTGAGTGTTTTAATCATAAATGGATGTTGTATCTTATCAAATGTTTTTTCTACATATAGTGATAAGATCACACGATTTTTATTCTTTGTTTTATTAATGTGGTATATTACATTGATTGATTTGTATATTTGAACCCATCCTTCTGCCCCTGGAGTAAACTCCACTTGATGTGATGTATTATTTTAAATGTATCATTGTATTTGATTTGCTAGCATTTTGTTTAGGACTTTTGTGTCTGTATTCATCAGAGATATTGCTCTGTAGTGTTCTTTATTTGTGTTATCCTCACCAGGTTTTGGTATCAGGGTTATTTTGGCCTCATAAACTGTGTTAGGAAGTATTGCCTCTTCAAATTTTTGGAAGAGTTTGAAAAGAATAGGTATCAAATCTTCTTTGAATGTTTGGTAGAATTCACTAGTGAGGTCCCCTGGTCCTGGACTTCCACATTTTGGAGGTTTTGGATGGTTGTTTCAATTTTCTCACTGTTGATTGGTCTATTTAGATTTTCCATTTCTTTGTGATTCAGTCTAGGAAGGCTATCTATTTTTAGAAATTTATCCACTTTTTCTAGGTTATTGAATTTGTTGGCATATAAGTCTTTCATTGTATTCTTTTTAAAAAATACTTTTTTAAAATATATTTTTTATTGATTTCAGAGAGAAAGGGAGAGAGAGAGAGAGAGAGAGAGAGATCAATGATGAGAGAGAATTCTTGATCTGCCTCCTGCACACACCACATTGGGATCAAACCTGCAATCCATGGCATATGTCCTGACCAGGAATTGAACCTTGACCTTCTGGTTCATACCAGTAGTTCAATGCTCAGCCACGCCGGTCAGCCTTTCATTGTATTCTTGTATGATTCTTTGTATTTCTGTGATGTTTATAGTAATTTCTATGCTTTCATTTCTGATTTTATTTATTCCTGTAGGAATGCTCACTGCATCTCTTTGTTCCTCCCAGTTGAAAAGAGTTCCAGTGGCAGCCTGATTCCTCCCCTCTGTAGTGAGCCCCAGGCTGTGAGAGCCAGACTACATCTCTGGCACCCTCTCAGCTCTTCTTCCTTCCCAAATCCCCAGTTTGCTCCCATTTGCCTATCTTCGGATGTTTCAGTGCTCAGGTCTCTCAGATGTATTTGTGCACTGAGCAGGGAATTCTTTGTTGAATTATAGCTGTTAAAATTGTTGAAACTTCAGTGGGAGAGACCAGAGAACCTATCAGGAGTTATTCCTCTGAAGTCACTCCAAAGTTGGTTATTTTCAATAGAAGCAATTAAGCCTTTACAATATTGAAGTTTCTCTCCCTTTACTGTGATTGAAAGAAGTAGGAGCCAAATGAATGGGGCATAATTACTATCTTAAAAGGTAATAATTTATGAGCTCCAAAGGGGAATTTAAAATTAAGGACCAACAGCAATGCTTTCAGCCAAAGTATTTGGAGAACCTCTACAAATTTTGCCAACTTAACCTTAATAATGCCATTAGTACATTTGACTAAGCCTGAGGATGGTAAGCATAATGAAAATGTTGTAAGATTAGGCAAATAGTAGACACTTGTTGAAATACCTGACAAGTCAAATGTGTGCCCTGGTCAGCATGGTTCAGTGGTTAGAGAGTCAGCCTGTGCACCCAAGAGTCAGGGGCTTGATTCCCAGTCAAGGGCATGTACCTGTGTTGAATATTTGATCCCTGTGAATATTTGATGTTTCTCTTTTGCTCTCTCTCTCCCCCTTCTACTCTTTCTAAAAATCAATGGAACAAATGTCCTTTGGTGAAGATTGACAAAAAAAATCTTATATGCAAAAAGTGTGATCCTCAGTCACTAAGGAGTTTGAGAGGCAGAGATAATATTTTCTAATAGGACTTTATCCACAGAAGAAGCAGTAGCTTGTCTACAAGGGAAAGCTTCAGTCCTTTGAGAAAACATACAGACTATGACTAAAACATACTTATATCCATGAAATGGGGGAGCTGTATGAAATCTATTGCAGAGGTGATACCGAGTTCTTCTTACTTTGTCATATCAGGTGATGCATGATCAATTCATGTCATTCTTAATAATGCTCACTCTGATCACTTGATTAAGAGTGTCTACCAGTGTGTTCCACTGTGAAACTATACTTTCCACTTTGTAATTAATGGGTATTTTGAGCTGTAGTATTTGAAACCATAAATATCCTCATCCAGTTGCAATTTATTTATTTATGTCTGTATGTACTCATCTTTTCCTACTTTATTATTTATTCTTACCATCAATATTTATTATGATGCTCGAATTGTCCCTGGTTTGGTCATTGAAAGCCCATCAGTCTGGCATCTTTGTCCTTTTGGCATGTCCCCATCAGTGTCTAGCATTTTCTTGCTTTTTAGCACAACAAGATGTTCCAGGCTCATCTTGGAGTTTCTCAACCCTGGCCCCAAGTCAGCCATTTCTCTAAGGCAGTGGTTCTCAACCTTGGCTGCACATTAGAATCACCTGGGAATCTTTTTAAAATCCTGATTTCCGGGCCTCATCCTCCGGAAATTCTGTTTCTTTGTTATGGGGTGGGGCCACAACATTAGTAACAAAGAAACAGAATTTCCAGAGGATGAGGCCTGGAAATCAGGATTTTAAAAAGATTCCCAGGTGATTCTAATGTGCAGCCAAGGTTGAGAACCACTGCTCTAAGGAGCCTGGGTCCCTTGAGGTGGAAAATTGTATTTTATAAGTCAAGATCAGGGCACAAGGTGTGCTCATTGCTATAAAGTTTCTAAACTCTGCCTGTGTGTTTTCTATAACATATGGGCATCTATCTATCTATCTATCTATCTATCTATCTATCTATCTAACATCTATCTATCTCTTTGTATCTATTTATCTTCATAGCTATTTATCTATCATCTATCCTATATAATAAAAGCCTAATATGCTAAGTGTCCGGTCATCCATTAAACTAAACAAAGGAAATATGCTAATGATATGCTAAGGCCACTCAACCACTCGCGATGATGTGCACTGACCACCAGGGGCCAGATGCTCTGACTGGTAGGTTAGCTTGCTGCTGGGGCCCGGCTGATCGAGACTGAACGAGATGGGCTGGACATGCCCTGGAGCCTTCCAACAGTCTCTCTCTGCTGGCCAACCTCCTGCATTCCCCCCCAGCCTCTATCATGCTCCGGTGGGGTCCGTCAGCCTGGTCTGCACCTTCTCGCAATCTGGGACCCCTCAGGGGATGTCAGAGAGCTGGTTTCAGCCTGATTCCACAGGCCAGGCTGAGGGACCCCACTGGTGCACAAATTTGTGCACTAGGCCTCTACTCTATATAGAAAAGTACACACTTACATAATACATTCAGTTTCAAACTCTGAGTCCACAGAGTACATTCTGTTTTTCTCTCCTTCTGAATCAGTGACTCTCTTCTCTAACAGTGAGAAATGTGGATTTCATTATCTTTAATATGTTTATTTGTCTGATCAATCCTCCTTGATATAATAAATCCTTGCTCCATCCCTTTGCACTAATGGATGCTCTCTTCATCCTACTCAGATTCTCCACACCCTCTTTAGGCTCTGGATGCTTTTGCCAGGTTACTTCTCTGCGTAGACACATTTCCCACTTTGTTTGGGTTCCCACACCCATACCAGGATTCCCTCCATGTGGATACCCTTCCACCCTACTCAGTCTCCTAGTTAGAGACACTGTGACTCCCTTCCCTGCCCTTGCCCCTGCCCCTGCCCCTGCCCCTGCCCTGCAGTGTGTGTCTGCCAATAATGCTGTACCGAACCTTTTGGCTTTCAGACCAAATTATCCAGAAAGGAAAAAAAGGAAAGGGAAGGGGAGGCAAGGGAAGGAAAGGGAAAAGAAGGAAGTAAAGTGAGGGGAAGGAAACAGCAGGAGATAGAGATGGAAAAGGAAGAAACCTGTGCACTTCTGAAACTGACGAATGCTTGTAGCCTTTCTACCCAATCAATTGACCAATCAACTATCTTTTATTCCATGTTCATTGTGTTAAGAGGGTTGGGACTTGAGGATGACATTCTAAGAATATAAGAAAACATGTTTCCTGTCTTCCAGAGTTATCAAGGGAGATGAGATAAAACATTAAATCAAAACTAATAATAAAATAGTAAGTGCCTCAACTGAGTCTTACAAAAAATATGTGCTCCAAAAAGGTGGAATTAAATTATGAATGTACTTTCTAAATAATGGGGGAAATCACAATGGATTTATTCTCATCTATCTTAATATATCAAATTGGAATTCTGTAAAGGTCCCACCCAACCAGTGATTGTGATGGTTAAAAACATTTAGTCACTGGCTGTGCATGAAAGCATTAGATAATATTATTATGAAGAGATGTTTATTGAGTTGCTCAATATAATATACAATATAGAATATTCAAAATAAAACGTGATATAAATGTCACTATTCTCATTTCCATAATGATTCTTGTTTTCATTAAGGTTTGTTGAGAAAATTATAGAGAAATTTGTATTCGTGATTAGTACTAAGTAAGTAGATGATACTAAGTGGGAATAGATGGAGATAGTATTAAAAGAACCCAATAAACTCGGTCTACTTATTTAGTCACCTCTCTTATAATAACACAATATGTAATACTCTGTATAGACATTGAGAAGATAAGTGAACATACAAACTCCCTAGTCATCCATCAAGTGCAATAGGTTAAGCACATCTTCATTTCTGTTTTTTTATTTATTCACAAAGTACACTGAGATCTCTGGTGTCAGGGGATATGACTTCCTTGAAGAACAAAGTGTAAATCCTTAGGGAAAGTCAGGCTCCACTTACAGTCCCATCTCTCAACTCAGCCTTTAGAACAATGGGTTTTTTTGGTTGAATAATTCCTTGAAAATCTAATTCCACAGGGATCTGCAAATGTTAAACAGCATAGGAGAACCAGTTAACGAAGCACTGTCAACACCAAAAGCAAAGCAGATGAGATACATTGAGGACAATAATGCTTTACAATACATAGAAATTACTTTTCACATAATATATCTTTGTTTCCTTATACTTATTCAGTAAGCTGTCTCAAGACTGGTCATTGAAAGCATTCATCAATACATTCATTAAAGAAAATATCAATTACAGCATCTATTCTGTACCAGGCCAGAGACAAAATCATTGGTTTGTGCTTGTTTTTGGCTTGAATTTTAAGCGAATGAATGAATTTTTAAAATGTAAACCAGATTCTTAGGCATTATGAAAAACTATTTAGAAAAGCCATACAGAATTCATTTTGTACATATTGGAATTTGCAAGGTAACCTGAGTACATATTATACATTTTAATTATTTGAATTATCCATCACTTCTAAAGAGTCCAGTCACTTCTCCCAGTGGAAGCCTTCTAGTTTCATGATGGGAAAAGGTATTTGTCAAGCATTGTGCCTATTTTCTAACATCTCCTGGTTCCCAGTGTAAATAGTGAATTTTTGAATAGTGTTTTGACTAAATTTTTAGCTCTATTCCCACCAAGTCACACTCTCAGTGTTGAGGGAGCCACCAACACAGTAACCTTCATATCTCAGTTGACTGAAGGGCAAGAAAATTGCCATGGAGCATGAAAAGCACAAGCCAGAGATGACTGGGAGCTTTCAGGGAGTGTCTGCACCACCTCAGGTGTACAGAGGCCCACTCCCTCTCAGGGCTAAGACCCCCTTTGTATGCACTTACAGGACTGCTGCATAGCTGCCTAAAGCCACAAATAAGATGGAAACCATCTTCATCCTCCTCCTCTTCTCTGAGAAAGCCTACTTAAGGAAAGGAGCTGCATACTAAATATACAAGTCCTAGAAATAAGCCTTATTATAGGGCCTTGCTTGCTATCACTCAATGACAACTATTGCTTATGTTTGTCAGAGGAGAGATTCCAGATATTCCTATTAATATAAAGCCTTCCTATTTTATAATTTCAAATGGCACGTATATATTTCCCCTGTACACAGACCAACACATGTAGTGTTTAAGAAAACTCAGTTTAAGAAAAACTCTCAATCAAGCATTATTCACACAGAGTGGTAACAGGTTAAGTATCTGACCTGTGTTTCTTTGCAAGGTTTGAAGGAGAAGTTCTGCAGAACTCTGACGAGAGCAATTTTCATGTTCATGAGAGCGAACCTCATTCCGATGCAGTTTCTGGGTCCACTTCCAAAGGGTGTGTATATGTAAGGATTTATCCTGTCCTTGTTCTCCTTGCTAAACCTGGTTATAAACCAGTAGATGCAAACAATTAATGAAACATAAACACCACAAGAGCTACATGTTTGGGGTTCTTAGGCTCCTCTACAAGCAGTATACAGAATACTCCTTTGGGCTAGTCAGTGAGATCGTGCTGTAGTTATGTGGCTGTAAGAATGGTAAGCTACAGAGTCTTTCCATTCCTCATACCCTATAGGAGCTAACAG